CTATAGTCTGGGGCTGAATCAATTGGTATGGGGCATGAGTTGGCCATGTAAAAGTCCAGAATATCTAGACTTTTCTTTCATGTTACGACATACATAGAGTCTTCCATGACTTTGGCAATAACCACCACCACACCAATCTCTTTGTATTCTGATATACTTTCTCTCATTTGGTTTAATTTGATTTGATGTGATCCTGACCTCAACCCTGTCCTCTTGTTGAGAGCAGGTCAGTCTTGTTCATCTTGTATTCTCTACAAAGTACATCCTCTACGAAATGTCTTTGTAGCCAACACAATGCATTATACGCAAAGCCTCAATAAAAATTTTGTGAACTGTGCTAAAATAATACTAGCCCTATCTCTGGGACCGAAATCATGACTGCTGGTTTCAGGGTCCTGAAACAATCCCAACTATCTAAGCAGATTGCAATATGATAAGGAAATATCCAAACCACAGAGTGGAAAAGATAATTTTAAATGCCATATTAACCTAGCTATGGTTTTTCCTTGCGTTGTGTTGATGTGGCCCCTTTTTATGAAAGTTCTTTCTACGTAATAATAGTAATCTGACAGTGAGGGTAACTTCATGATATATGAGGTTTACTTGCATGTTATAAGTTTATTTGTGGACTCATACCTCATATTGTACGTGGACATATTTAACTCATGGCCTGTCAGTTGACTTATGTAGATATCATATTCAAATCAGAAATATCTAGAGTGGGTCAGGGAATGGAAAATAAATAAAGCAATTCTTAGAGGTAATTATAGTCATGATTATGAATGGTATCATCTTATTATTGCCCGTTAGAAGAGTCTGCAATTAGAGAACTCTAAATCAAAGTTATGCATTCAGATCCAGCTACTTAATGAAAACTATGTGCTAAGCTCCTATTCATATGTTATTTCATTCATGCTTTACAATCAGTTTCTGATGGAGCCCACTTACTAGCCCATTTTACAGATGGAACTCAGGACAAAAGAGTTTGGAGGATTCCCCAATATTTCACAGCCTCCAAGTCCCATAGGTTTTCCATATATCATGACATCTCACTTTTGAACATTTTATGGAGTTAAAAGATTAAAAAACTTGCAAGCAGTCTGTGGTGCTCAGGAGTTTGTGTTTCTTTAAGGTCCAGGAAGCTTTAGCGTTGCGCTCTTGAACTTTGAGTTTCAGTTGCACATCAAACCCTGGCAGTGGGCAAATACTGATGCCACAGGAGCAGCAGCAGGTGGCACCACTCAGGGGCAGGTGTATTCATGCCCCTCTGACGTGCCTGGCCAGTCTGCTGTTCACGTGAAACGATGGCCAGCAGGACCAGGGCCGCCTAGGTCGGTTGACGAGTCATTCTTTCCTGGTTAATGAAGGTTTAATGTCCAAGGTTCTAAAGTGCTTGGGGGCGGAGAGGGAAAAAGTCTTTGGTGACTAAAAGGTAAACAGCTCTGCTTTAGACACTGACTTGGAGTGAGACAGACTCTCTGTGTACCTGTCTTGAGACTCTAAGCCAGTTACTTGCCCTCTCTGAACCAGTTTCCTTATCCAGAAAACAGGGTGATAAACCTTTCCTCAGAGAGAGGCTGAGATTGGGGATATGTATAAAAAGAATCCGATGTATTACAGAACCTCAAAAAAAATAGCTATCGTTATTATTGTTGTCGCAACAATAATTAGTACTAGCAGCATAAGTGAACTTATTTCTACCAAGCAGCTGTCAGTAGTTGGAATATTTCAGTCACAGTTTTGACCACCCAAGTCCTGAACCCAAACGATGGTCACCAGCCTCACTCTCCATTCTTTTATCACCATCCACTTCTAATTCTCCCGTTCTTCTTTGACAAAAATCATGTCTGATGAAACCTCACATGGCCCCCCGGATTGTGTCATCTCAGTCTGATAAATCAAACACCAAGTGCTTGAATAAGCACCAGGTGGAGATGAGGAAGTCAGAAAGTGTGCCTTTCGGTGTCCAATGGCATCAAGAATGCCGATGGGAGCTTTGCCTGAGCTAGCCTTCCACCATCCTTAGGACAAGCTTTGGCCAAAACTTCCCCAGCCAAATGAGCCTCAAATTTTGTGTGTCAGACATTTCAATTTCCTTTACAATCACATTCAATGTCTAACACTGCCTACTTTTACAAGCTATCTGAGCCTAAACTATTTAAACAAGCTAGTTCTCTGCTACTTTTTCCTTCATTTTATTGACATTTTACTTTTTCACCCACAGATTCTTTTGTTACACTCAATACCATTGAGCACTTTGATTCCCTCTCACCATCAGTTTAGGAGTTATTCCAAAAGAACATATTCCTGAGAATTTACATTTTCCTGTGATTATGGTCATTTCATTATTTTTAGATTTCCTCATAACATTTTTCGTTTCATTCATTATTTGACTCAGGAGGCATGCAATATTTTTATTAACCTTCTCTTGAATTAGATATTGCTTCAATGCTTAGGAAAAAAAACCTGTAGAATGAACCTATACCCAGACACTGCCATCTCTAGGTGAGCTGATGGCTTAGATCAATCACTTTGAGTTTTATTCTAGTGTTTAACCAGATTTAAAGGCAAAAATGTAAAGATTGAGAAAGAATGAGAATAGAGCAAAACACGGTGAGTTCTGGCATTAAAAACATCAGGGAGTCCAGCTTGGTTTGGGGGCATGGAACGGGGCAAATCTTTGAATGCCTACTGTATACGGGCACTTTACAAACTTACTTAATACTCTTGTGAAGTGAAGATTCTACTTTACAGAGGAGAAAATTAAGGCTTGGGGGGGGGCAGGGAAACCTTGGCCAAAAGTCATGTGTTTCAAGTGCTGGAGCTAAGCTAACATTCTTCTCAGTTTCCCTTGGTGTTCTCTAGAGCTCAGTCATTCATTAGCTGTGTGACTTAGGGGAATCCTCTAACCCTCCATGCCTCAGTTTCCTGACCTGTAAAATGAAGAGTCTGAATTAAGAGCCAAAGGGTCTTGTTGGCCTTTGTAACTTTAACATTCTGTGCAATGCAATGAGTGCATGAGATGATTAGAAGGATTGGCTGTTTATGAACCAATCAGAGGTATGGGATAAACACCTTCCTACCAGGCCAAGGTGGAAAGGGGAAGGCAAAGTTAAAGAAAAAAAAAAACAAACAATTTTGATAAGAGGTCTATAAAAGCTGTGTGTTTCCAAAGATTCGTCCTATTTGGCAGCTGCTGCCTCATCTACCGCTTCTGATCTCTAAGAAGAATCTTCTCTCCCCAAATGTAAGTAAAAGAACATCTTTTGTCTACTTGGACTGCACGAGGGAGTAAGGAGTTAAGGATAGCTTGTAGAGGAGAAAGTTCATTTGCTTCTGTTTTCAGGAAAAATTTGATGGTGGCTGGAAACGGCGATGATCTGCTGCACTGATTGTTTTTCTCCTTAAGTATAACTGTTCGCTCACACCTTTCCTGGCTCTGAGTGGTGAGCAAAAAGATCATTTGCAACCGATGCCAGTACCTGTTCTTTTGAATCTTGACCTAGGAAAAACAACTCGAATACTCCTATTTGTTTAGTTCTACTCTGTTTCTGAGATTCCTACTCATTTTTACTCTCTTCATAACAACTTATTTTGATTTATTTACATATCTATTTCCTTATGTCATTTTCTTCATTCTTTTCCCATGCCTGCTGGTACAAGCACTAAAGTTTCTTTGTCACAGAAATGAACTCATGCGTGTTGCCCTTCACCTTCACCCACTGCCCAAATGAGAAAATGGAAAAGGCTTGGAAACGTCACAGTGCATAGCTGTCATTTAATTATAAATTCTCAAAGCTTCCACTTGTTTGATACTTCCTATAACATTTCCTATTGGTACCAAACACTTAGAAGACCCCACAGCTTAAGATATTTGGAATCAAAAGCTGCTGATATATTTCGGTGCATTTATTCTACTCTCTGAAAAATAGGCATATGAAGATATGATGCCTTTTAAAATAAATGACTTTAACTAGTTACTAGGGCTCCATTAGCCAATTGGGATCGAATAGGGGCTCGAGCTCACTTTAGCCAAGGCATATGGGGGGAAGACCCAGGCCCAGGCTAGACCTGAGGTGCTGGGCCAGGGAATGGAGTGTAGTTGCAGTAAACCTAGGCGTTCCTTTGACTTACTTGCCAGTTTAGAGGAAAGAACAACACTCTTTTTCTGGGCTGCTGCACATGCGTTCACAGGCTGTCTGACAGCATCTCACCGCACTTGTCACTGTGGCACTGGGGTGCGTAAGGAAGCTGTGGTCATCTTCATGCATCTGTACACAAAATTGCTGCACATAGTACTTGGCGATTATAGGCTTTCAGTGAACAAGCCCCTCATGTACGTCTTCTTAAAAGTTCATCTGCCTTGCACATGGAGAAGCAAATGGACTCTCTACTGCCTTATATTTCTCCAGGAGTTGAACATTCATTTTTTACAAACTCTTATCTTTTCACAGAACCTCTTCAGGGAAGGCAGAAAGAACCACACTGTAGGGTTCCAGTGTTATTTTGCTGAAGAAAGATTAGAAATAGTATTCCAAATCATAAACCAATAGGACATGCTTACAATCCTAGAACATCGCAACCTAGATGGGAAATCAGACTTTTTCTTCCTGGGCCTCTGTCTCCTCTTTTCTGGGTTGGTGGGGTTGATTGATACAGATAACTGTGCGGTCACTTGTAGCTCTGTTTTTCTGGGTTTACTTTCTATTCATATACATTCTCATAACCTTCTCCCAGATTTGTGTGTGTGTGTATATAATATAGAATATATATAATATATATATATGGTCTGTTAACATATTATGTATAATAAATTATATAATATATAAACCCATTAATTAAGAAATTAAATATTAATAAAAATTTTCATAAAGTGAAGTGTGAGAGTCACTCCACCCTATCTCATTCCCTAGAGGCAAGCCCAGGATGGTTAGTCTCTGCTTAAATAGACCCACAAACAGTGTATGTCTATATCACGCTTTTAATTTTTTAAAAAAGAATGGTATTCCATATTGCATACTTTTCTGAAACTTGCTTTTTTTCACTTTTAATGCGAACAACTTCAAGTCACGCTTTAAAAAAATGTTGACTTGAGACCTCAGTGAACAGAGGCATAAGGGCATAGAAATCATTTTCTATCATTACCCTCTCCCAGCTGGCCTCGTCTCCCAGGGGTGAACATTGGCCTGTGACCCTGTTTTATGATTAACAGACGGTAACGTTTGTGCTGATGGGGTACAGACCTTTAATCCCTCTGTAGAAGTTTAACTTCCCATAAACACTATTGGTTTGATTTGACCTTTTCTCTGTTTGTTTTTCTGGTTGAGTCAGCATACTGTCTGAAGAAAATAGCTTGATAGTAAGTAGAAACATGGAAGTCCTTTAGATAATTTTTTTTTAATTTAAATAAGAGAAATAATAATAGTTTACATTTTCATAATGTTTTGGAAAGCATCTTCATGTTTGTCATGTAATTCAACAAATATATTTTGAGAAACTACAGTGAGTAGGGTGCTCACAGGCCACATTTGGCAATGAAACAACCAGAGCAGATATTATCACCATTAAATCCATAATAAACTAAGACTGAGAAATTACCAACCTGCCTATGGTCCCAGCTAGGAGGAAGCAGAGCTGGTCCTTGAACATAGGTCTGTCTGATCTATTAGCAGCAAACCTCTGTGTGAATATGTCAGATGTTTATGAATTGGTAATGTCAGTGGAGTGGGGATAACAGTCCATAGCCCAAGGATTTGGGGGACTCTGGGGTGTCATCAAGGACATCAGAGTCATCCACGGTCCATTCCTTTCACCCAGCTCACTCTTTCTTCGAAAGAGAGGAGTCCCGCCCCTTAGCCTAACTTTGTGCCTCATTAGCTATTTGTCCTTGGACACATAATTAAACTCTCATATATTCTTTCCTTATATGAGAGGAGGAGATATCCCAGCTGCCTTCTGGGATTATTGTGAGAAATAAATTATATAGTGCATGTAAAGCAATTAGTAGAATGCTTGGCAGTAAATAATAATTTGTTATTATTATCAGGTTACTTTTCCCTTTTGTTTCATTTAGAAAACATCTTTATTTGTTTGGTGGTTGTCAACTCCTTTGTGCAAATTCCTAAACTGAGGAAGAAAATTTGCCCTTTGGTCTGAATGTCACTTTTATCTGCATGAAGACCTGGAGGTCAGGTCCAAAGCTAAAAATCCCTGACTGCAATATCAGGGCTAACTAATCAACAGAGACAACACAACCGTCAGGTGACTGGGATGGGAGGAACCTTGGAAGATCGGCTTCTCTAGAGATTATTGTCCACTAGCCTGCCCTGGTACCCAGTGACATCACTGTAGTTTCCTTCTTTTCAGACAAGAGCCTGTTGAAGAAAGAGTGGCAATAATGGGAGTGGTGTCAGTTATAGCTTCTCATGAATTAGTTCAGTAGCCATCGACTTCTTATATCAAGGGACAGGGTACTGAGAGCCTGCCTTGAAGGGATACAGAAAATATGAAGAAATCAATTTGCCATGAGAGACAGGATTGGGTAGGAAGCTCTGCTTCATCCTAGCTGAAACCTTGGACAAATCAGTAAGCTTCCCCGAGTCTTAGCTCATTAATTAATAAAGATAATGCCTGGGCTGGTTACCTCATTGCTGAGTGGATTGAGGAGAACTGAGATGCCTCTGGGCTTCCAGAAAGTAGAATGCAGGCACAGGGCACCTACCCTGTGTATGAGTGTGTGAGGCAGACAGGAGGCCACCAGATTGGGTAGGAAACTACTCAAGATACTCTTCGCTGATTTGTTCTCTTTGATAGCTCAACCTATGCAAAATCACTCTTTCTAACATACAAGATAAGAGCCCCGTGGGACTGATTTGTTCTCTTTGATAGCTCAACCTATGCACTCTTTCTAACATACAAGATAAGAGCCCCGTGGGCCTCCATTTTCAAGAGTAGCCCAAAGTGGCAGCTGAACAGGGGCAGTGAATCCCTTCAGAGGCCCACTACTGAGGTGATTGTTTGAGTAGGGGTCTTCGGGGCAGAGTCTCTCTTCAATAAAGCACTGAAGCTGAGAATTACTGAAGCAGGGATAACCACATGACTTCAGCATCTTTGGGCCCCATGGGGACCTTCAGTCCAGGGGCACTTAGTAAAAATCCTCCCCATCTGCCTCAAATGATCTTATAGGTAGTTGAATATAAGAAAAAGGTGGCTTATACTTCACACACTAAGTACCAAAGCTGAAGGGAGGTTAACATGAAGGCCAAATGGTGTTTTCTCCTCTCAAGCTTAGAATAATCTGGTGCTATAGGCTAACAGAACAAAATAGAGAATGGCCACACAAACCAAAAGCCTCACTGTCTTGGCCTCAGGCCATCCAGGCCACCTGATAGCATCAAGAATCCACAGAAGAGAGAGACAGTCAATTATTGCAGTGCCCTCTATTTGTCATATTTGAATGGGTCATTAATTAGCTGATTCAGTCTCAAGATCAGTGATCCCAAAGGTCTCCTGGAAGGCATTCAGTTTAGAATCACTGTGAACATTTGGCGACTCACTTTTTTACTTGTTATGGCTAACTGCAACTACTTAGGCTGAAAGGGGAAAAAACTCAGACTTCATTTGTGGAAATGGGCTGGAAATGTCAGAGGGGCCTACAGGGCTTGTCTGTACACCCTGGCTGCCTTGGTCATGAGTCCTTTTGAGACACTCACAGTTCTGTTCAGGACTCTCCTGCACTCTTTTCCAGACCTGTCACCATGGCCCACCAATTTCCAGCCCTCACCGCAGAACAAAAGAAGGAGCTCTCAGATATTGCCCGGCGCATCGTTGCCAATGGGAAGGGGATCCTGGCTGCCGATGAGTCTGTAGGTGAGTGCAAGGAACATCATACAACAAAAGTACTCTTGTAGCTACACTCAGCAAAGGCAACTTGATGGTCATATTCTCTCTCCTGTCAGAGGAGTAAAGGCTTATGCACCAAGGGGTGGGAGCGGAAGACTCCGTAAGCATAGACCTTTCGAGTCCTGTCATTCCAGTATGCAGGTTTCTGAAAACCAAGGACAGAGGCTCGAGCTTTCCATTTTAAGGCCCCTTGCCAGAGATCATTTGAATCTAGGCTATAGCAGGGCCAGGAATTCAGTAGCCAGAACGAGGTCAGATGCACAGCCCTCTGCTGCTAAGGAGAAAGCCAAGGAAAGGCAGTGAGGGCAGGAAAGTGTCTGCATCCGGCCCAGGGAAGGGCTTGCGGTTGAGAGAAGCCCAAGATGGTGCAAGGGAGAGCTGTGGCAGGCCTGCACGCCACCATAGAATGATAAAAGCCAGAGAAGTCAACAGCCTGCCCCGCTCCTCCTTCTACTGTATGTACATCCAATCAGATTGAGGACTGGAGCAAGCGGGGTCTAGAGAGGCTGGAGGGCTTTACCTACCCACCCGGACACGCCCATCCCATACACTTCCTAACCAGCATCCTGAGAGCACCCAAGGTCTCCCAGGGGAGACCAAAAAAAAAAAAAAAGAAAGAAAGAAAGAAAAAAGAAAATACATGAGGAGGTCCGAAGATATGAATAAAAAAGAAAGCCTTGCTGTCAAGCCTGGTGCGGGCCGCTGAGACGGTGTCACCGAGAAGGGCGGCAGGAAAGCCAGGCTTGCTCCTCATGCCGCCTGCGCACACCCACCATAGGCACAATGGGAAACCGCCTGCAGAGGATCAAGGTGGAGAACACCGAGGAGAACCGCCGGCAGTTCCGAGAAATCCTCTTCAGCGTGGACAGCTCCATCAGCCAGAGCATCGGGGGCGTGATCCTGTTCCATGAGACCCTCTACCAGAAGGACAGCCACGGGAAGCTGTTCAGAGACATCCTTAAGGAAAAGGGGATCGTGGTGGGAATCAAGGTGAATACTTCCACTCCCCTCACACCTCTGCTTCACCCCTGCCAAGCTACCGGCGCAGGGGCTGGGGCAGGGCTGACACTCTGAACTTTCTCATTACTTAAGTGCTGCTCTCACTCCTTTCCATCACGTCTTCCTCTTGAGAACGGATCCTCTTCTAGACTTTTCTTCCAAAGCCCTTTTCTTTCAACCGTTTTCTATAAGGTACTAAATCTCTTAGTGTCTCTGTTTCCTTATTTCTGAAATGGGAATGATAGTACCTACCTCATAAGGTTCTTATAAAGATGAAATGGGTTTTAAAAACAGTCCCCATTACATAATTATTTTTCAGGGCATGATAGCTATTATTATTAAAGCACTTACAGTGCTGCTGTAACTAGGTCTTCCAAACTGCGTGAGCTTCTCAAGAGTGAACATTAGTATTCAACGAGTGCTTACAACTCCAGGCACTCGTTTAATCCTCCTCACATCCACTGGAGGTAGACTCAATTATTATCCTTATTTTAGAGAAGGCATGACCAGGGGTAAAATAATTTGCCCACAGCAAAGGCAAAATTGGAGCCATTTCAGCCCAGACTGTCTACCTCTCCGGCTCATGAACTTAGCCTCTGCTCTACTGAGAGTAGAGGCTGCATCGTTATTCTCTATTATAACACAGTGCCTGGGATGTGCAGGTGCTCAACATATGTCTCGAATAAACGAATGAATCATTTAAGGGAAGCTGCTCTTATATGGAACCTCTGCATCTCAGGCGCTATCAGACTGCTTCTTATTTACCAAGCTCCAGATTGTGCTTCTCATCCTCTTAAGGTTGGCACTCTTACATTGTTCCTTCCAGGTAACTTTCCTTCTGCTGTGGACTGAATCGTGTCCCTCCCAATGATTAATACTCCTTTCTTAATTCAACTCCTTAGTTTGTGAAAGATGAGAACTATTCGTTAACACCAGGGGCTCTGCTTGTGTTTTACTGGGACACCTGACATCTGCTAATTACTTGTTAATTATTTATATTCACAGTTAGACAAAGGAGGTGCTCCCCTTGCGGGAACAAACAAAGAAACCGTCATTCAAGGTAAGGATATTGCCTACTGATATGAATCATGCCAATATATGCTTGAAATGAGCAAGGGAAAACAAAATACGAGTATCACACTGGTTTTAGAGCTATGTATACTTGATTTTCAATCCCAGCTCCTCTATTACTAACTGTGTGACTCAGGCTAGTCACTTAAATGTTGAGTCCATTTTAAAGATAACAATATCTGCTTTGCAGAATAGTTTTGGACATTAAATCAGACAACGTATATAAAGTACTTATTATATAAGTATATAAAGTACTTATTATAATGTCTTGCACAGAGAAGATACTCCGTACCTGGGAATATTATTTTTAGAGAAAAATCCAGCAGCAGTAGAAGGGTCCCAGGCTTTGAGATCAGATATACCTGGGTTTGAATCCCGGTTGCATCATTTACTACTTAGATAATTTTGCAAAGTACTTCACTGCCCAAGTAGACAAGTACAAACCACAGCATTGGGTTAGCTAAGCAGAATTTGAATCCCCGCTCTGTCACTCTTCAGCTATGCAAATTTGGTTAAGTCACTTAACCACATGGAGCCTCGAAATCCACATCTGTAAATTGAGTATAATATTAACTATTAGAGTTGTTATGATAATTAAATGAGAAAAGGTGTACAAAATACCTAGAATCATGCCTGGAACACAGTAGCAAATATTAATTCCCCCTAGTCTTCTTGTGTATCCACTATGTATATCAAACCGTATTTATTAAATTCAGATTCTTTGGCTCAGTATTGGATCAATGTTTATTTGCCTGGATGTTTTCAGTTCTCAAGCTCTGCTGACCAAGAGCTAATCCAAGGGAGAACTCATTCACTTTATCTGCAGCCCCATGGATGAGGGACAGGGGTGCAAAGAAGCCATTCTCTCTTTTGTGACTTGCAGGGCTTGATGGCCTTTCTGAGCAATGTGCTCAGTATAAGAAAGATGGTGTTGATTTTGGAAAATGGCGTGCTGTGCTGAGGATCGACAGCCATTGTCCATCCACCCTTGCTATCCAGGAAAACGCCAACGCCCTGGCCCGCTATGCCAGCATCTGTCAGCAGGTGCTCTGCTTTCCTCGTGGACTAAAAATCAGCAGGCGGGAGCCTTCTTCGGAGTCTATCTTTCTAATTTTACTATAACTACACATGAGCCCTCCTCTTCTCTCACCAGTATATCCTGATGGCATTTTTCACTACTTTTTCTATAGCCAACTGTGGTAAGGAAAGATTTGGTTCCACAAGCCAGCTATGAGTCCAAAAGGCAAATGTCATCAACTGCTGCCCTTCTGTCAAAGTGCTATAAGCTGAGTCCTAAAAGTGCTTTGCTCAGGCTTTTGAGGCCACAGCACTTGATCAACCATGTTTCACCATGTCCAAGACAGAGTGATAACTCTGACCTAGTCACAATCCAAATAATTTCTTGGAGGATGGTGACCCGATGCTAAAGTTTCCAACACATGTTGAAGTATATCAGGGATCCAAGTTAAGTCTGATTTGCTTGTGTGGGTGCTGTGTTGGGGTTCCCTGAGTTGCATGCACCTGAAGATTCCCAGTCAGAATTATAAACACTTCTTGAATTCCTTAATTAACCCACACAAGAGATATCTTTCTTAGCGATTTAAGCTGGACTGCTCTACAAGGGTGACAATTAGGTTCTGAGAAAGCTAGAATAGTTTCTAGAATAAGATATGGAAATTTAGAGTTAGCATTTATTTTACCCCATTCCTAGTAAGACTTTTTTTAAAAACCCTCATTGTTCCTTTTTGGCTAAGCCATGCTCACTAGACAACCCATTGCATTTCTTTTCATTGCCTTTAAATCACCTGTATGGTATTTTTCCATAAGGGCTTCATTTTACACTAATTGCAACTGTTGAAAATCCTCTTAAGGAAAGGGCCCCAGTGAACAAAGCTTCACCCTGTCCTGTCCTTTTTCCTTTTAAGAATGGACTGGTACCCATTGTTGAACCAGAGGTAATTCCTGATGGAGACCATGACTTGGAACACTGCCAGTATGTCACTGAGAAGGTAAGTCTTGAATATAAAAGTCCTAATTCTAGTTGGAAATCTTGTTTTTAAGTAATAGCTGTTACTTCACATATGTCAGTTGTTATATATAAAATATAAAATATTCTTCATTGGAATCATTATGCAATGTTGGCTATAGTTTGCAATACATTGCCCTGATGAAGCCTAGTAGCTGGTCGGGAAGCTCTGGTCAAACCACATTGGGAATTCTTTCATCTTGCATCCCTGCAGTGTAAAAATTGCCAAGGCCAGGTAACTCTAAGGTTGGCTCTAGGTTTCACCTGTTTTGACCTCTCTTGTCCTTCAGGTCCTGGCTGCTGTCTACAAGGCCTTAAATGACCATCATGTTTATCTGGAGGGCACCCTGCTGAAGCCCAACATGGTGACTGCTGGACATGCCTGCACCAAGAAGTATACTCCAGAGCAAGTAGCTCTGGCCACTGTCACAGCTCTCTTCCGTACTGTTCCTGCAGCTGTTCCTGGTAAGGCCTTCCTTCCCCTCTAACTAGAGATCTTAGCCCTCATCCTTTGAAGGAGTTTCATAAGCATTTGTGTTTATCCAGGATTCTTCTATCTAGCAAACAGACCTCTGCTATGTCACAGGCAGGCAGCACTTCCCCTCACACTCCACGATACCTGAGTTTGTCCAGATGCACACAATCCATTGGTTTCCTCAGCATTTCAGCACCCTCCTTATTTATTAAAGCCCTTCTCTCCTTTGCCTGACTAGCCTCAGCACAGGCAAACTAATATCTCTGACTCAGTCCCCAGTAAATCAAGTAGAGAACAGATTGAGAGATTATATTTTTTTAGGCTCATTGCTTGCTTTCTCAAACAGGGCTCATAAACTAAGACTAATAAAGTGGAATGGCTTCTGTCCTTCTAGGCATCTGCTTTTTGTCTGGAGGTATGAGTGAAGAGGATGCTACTCTCAATCTCAATGCTATCAACCTTTGCCCTCTGCCAAGGCCCTGGAAACTAAGTTTCTCTTATGGACGAGCCCTGCAGGCCAGTGCACTGGCTGCCTGGAGTGGCAAGGCTACAAACAAGAAGGCGACTCAGGAGGCTTTTATGAAGCGAGCTCTGGTAAGATGCTACTACCTCCTATCTAGTTGATCGAGTAAACACTTGGTGGCTGGCTCTCTCACATGGAAAAGCTTTATGGCCTCCCACAGGCCATAAAAGTGTCTCCAGATACTGTCTACTAGGTATTTGAAAATGTGGCATTACAACTCAGTAGGAAGGTTAGGGCTAGACACAGTTTTGAGTTATCCACACTGAAGTTATAGTTGATGGCAATAGATTGGAGGACAGTTTCCATAGAGACACTTCAGAGGGAATATAAGAGGGCCAAGGATTGAACCAGGGACACCTTTCATTTTGAGAAGTTGAAGAAGAGAAGTCACCAAGACAAGCAGCAATAATATGATAGGATGAACCAAGGATTCACAAGAATTTCAATAACAACACACTACAGAAAGATTCAGAATAAGGGCTTAGAAAAGGCAAAGACTGGCATTTAGGAGCATGTCAGTGAGCCTCCACAATACAGTTTCAATAAAGGAGAGGGAAGGTATACAGTCAAGAGTTTGACAGGGAAGGACCCAGAAAAGTTACCAGGGTAAATAAGGGCAGATTTTTTTTTTTTTTAATTTGACTAGTAACCATTCCTTTTTGAACACCTACTATGAGTCAAGGGCTGAGGTGAACAAAGCATACATAGCCCCTGCCTTCGGGGAGCTTAGATTTTAACCAAACAGGAGAGAGCTTGTCATATTTAAATGAAGCAGAAGCCAGAGGAGAGAGTAAAGATCGGGAGAATAGGGATTATCCAGAAGACAGGGATTTAGAGGAAACAGGATTGCATGAGACTAAATATTAAATACAGGTGGCAGAGTGGGTCTTAGACGGGAGAAAAGAGCAAAGAAGAAAGAGAATGGTTTTGAAATTAGGTCTATCGAGGTAAAGAGATGTAGCAGTTGATTGCTGACTATAGTTGAGGGCATCTGTTTGAGCGTGATAACAGAATGGAGATTCCAGTCTTTGCAGTGGAGCAGCTTGGATTAGCTGTCGAAGTTGTCTGCTGGGAAATTGACCAGATGGGCCAAGCATCAAGCATGGTGCTGCTGAAAATGAGAGTGTGTTTGTGGTACATTAACTTAGATCTTGAATTTTCCTAACAGCTCTCTTAAGCATGCGGGAAGATGCAGATCAACCTAAATGGAAATAGAGTAGAAGAGTTTGGCAATGAAGTACTGAAGGAAAGGAAGGCCCCAGAGGAGTTTAAAAAATCATTTTAGGCACATGAGAGAGGTGTGAGATTTTAGAGGGAGTGCTTTACCTTATGATGGTGGCAAGCTGGGTATGGCTGTGCTGGTGTGTGGTTGATGGGGTGGGGAGATGTAGCAAATATGATAGAGGGATTGTGACAGGAAGGGCCTAAAGGGCCATCCACACAAAAGGAAAGCTGAGTTTATCATCTAAGATGTGGTTCTCAAGCTTGAGTCCCCTGGCAGGCTTGTTGAAATACAGATGACTATGCCACAGTCAGCAAGTTTCAGATTCAGATGATCAAGCTGGAGAATTTCCATTTCTAACAAGAGCTTAGGTCCATCAAACAGACTTTGAAAATCACTGTAGATGAAGAAATAAGTCCTAGAGAGAGCAAACAGTAGTAACAGTGACTCGAAGGCCTGGTAAGGCTGAGTGGCATTTGAATATTATTATAGGATTCATAATTCTAAACTCACCTTTAACTGGAATTAACACAGGGAATCAAACGATATTTTGATAACAACTACATAAAAATTGCATAGTCTTGTGGAAAATTTAGGCAGAAAATGGGAAATTTTTTTTTTTTTTGTAATAGGGTGCCTTCAGCGGCACCTTGCCTGATGCTTGATGGTAACAGCTGGTCCATTTCTTAGTAGACTACTTCAACAGCTGTTTCAAGCTTCCCCACTGTTAAGATGGAACTCTCCCGTCCTTTATCACTATGCTAATGAGAAGTTTCTCAGCTTTAATTTCTAGTACTGTTGTTGCAATACTGTTGGTACTAAAGAGAAACTTTTCCAATAACTGACACTAACCTATACTCAGAAAACTGGGATAAAAGAGATAACATGTTACAGAAGGAGAGGTAGGTATCAGCCACAATATTCAGCAAAATCACTATAAGGAGAAAAATATCAAAATGAAGGTGTTGCTGGTTTCAAATGCAAAGAAGAGAGGATCAAGCACAGGGTTGTGTTTGCTCTAACTCAATCTCCTCTCTCCTTTGTTTTTTAGGCTAACAGCCAGGCAGCCAAAGGAAAGTATGTTTCCACCGGCTCTTCTAGTGCTGCGTCCACCCAGTCACTCTTCACAGCCTGCTATACCTATTAGAATCTGAGACAGGCCAGCTGGCTCCAGCTCTTCTAGGTGTCTTGGTAGGAGGGCTGCAAGAGAACAACCCTTTTGACTGACTCTGGAAATTAGCCAAAATTAGATTGGAACTATTGGAAACACAATACATGTTAAATTCTTAGACACAAGGCAAAAACAAACAAACAAACAAAAAAAACAGTTACTGAAACTTAAGTCTGAATATCAGGGATCTGAGAAAATTTCACACAATTTTCTGGACACACTTTTTGCTCCCCAAGCCGCAGAGTATCCATCTAAGAAAAGAATAAACTTCAAAACAAAATTATCTCTCCTTTGAGATAACGACCACTCAATGAAACATCTCAGAAGCTGAGGGTAGAGGAGTGCCTCTTATTAAACAATCTTAGCAGTAGTAGGTTGTGAAGGAGACAGCTGCAACCAAAAAAGAAATAAAATATGCTGTAAACCTTCAGCTGGTATCACGGTTTTACTTTCTGCTTTCTGTTTTTAAAGGGCTTGGTACATTGCATCACCTTTGACTCTACTAGACATGACTGACGTTAGGGTCAGGGTTCTCAACTTTGGCTACTCGTTGGAATCACCTCGAAAAACAATTCCAAGTGCTCAGGCCATATTCCAGCACAAGTAATCAGAAATTTTCGAGGTGGGATCCACTAAATATCAGGGTTTCTTAAAGCTCTCTTGATTCTAACCAGTTAGAGAACTACCAGTCTAGATTTCAAGTTTGAGGCTATCCAAAAATGAAAGCCATTTATAATTTGAAGCAAGCTAAAATGGAAAATGATTTGGAGCAATATGTAGAGTGTAATAAGAGAATCATGTGACTTTGCAACTTGGAACATTCCTCTTCAGAGGGCCCAGGTTTGGTGACACAGGACTACATCTTCCCCTGCACATCCAAACATACTGCCTAGTTGTGCGGTAAGTAACATTCACATCATTATACTTTACTGGCTTTTAATTTTCAGAATTATCCTATAGAAAAAGTATTAAAGACAGCCATAGTTACAAAAGAGAATTTAAACATTATAATTTCGGACGATATAAAAGTAATAATTTTGGTTAAAAAAAAAAAGCAGCAATTTAACAAACAGAAGGTGGGAAATTCAAGTGGAGGAAAGCAAAGGGGTCACTAATTCACTTAAGGGGGAGTCAAGAATACTACTTAAAATTGATGGATTAAGAAATAGCACTTTAATTCCATTAAAATAATAAAGGAAATGGATATAAATTATTAAAATATGTATACATATAATTAAAACATAGAAGAAGATAGTAAATTCTTTGCCTTGAAGAGTACAAAGATAAATGATATTGTTTTGAGTTGATACAGTAAGAAATAGAGGCGTAAGCATATTATTTAGAGGAATAAGAATTAGTCCAAAAGGGCTTCTTCTGATGAGAAAGACATGGGATTGGGGCACAGGGAAGGAGTTATTATTTATGTATGTAATGTATAAGAATGTGTTATATATTTATAAATTACATATATAAGGAAGTTCTCACTATATGCCTCTACGACATTTGAATATTTATTGCCATGTACCTCTATTACTTTTCTAAAAACAACTATATCCATGTAAGCAATTCAAATCTACTTTAGAGGACATTTAGCCTAAGGCTTTCATTTCACAGATTATAAAACCAAGCCTAGAGCACTTAAATTACTTGCTGACTGTTACACATTCAGGGGTTTAGGGAAGAGCTGAGAGGTGAGAATTCAGGTCTCTTTCTCTTACAAGGAACACATAGCCAGGGAGAAAGGTAAGGGCAGGGTAACAGGCAGTGTTCAATACCTCTGTCACCAGAGTTGTAAATCTTCTATGTTCCTTATTGTATCCATTCATTCAATCAGCAACTACTTAAGCTCCTACCATGTGCTAAGCTGCCCTAAAAGTTGGTGGCACCTGGTATGACAAATCTCTTCTGCCAGACAATTTTTATCTAGAGCTTACTCAGCATCACTGACCCTATGTTGTAGAGAAACCTCTCGTTTATGAGTTGAACATGAATTTATAATCACGGTTAAGTTATTTATATCTTTTGGTTAAAGTCGAATTATCTTTCATTGGGGGTGCGGATTTATGAAATGCATTTTCCTTGGGTATCATCCAATATATTTTCCTACTAAAGCACTACAGTTGTCTTTGAAATTTCAAGCTCAGTACTTTCCTCTACTCAGGGTAATATGAAGACAAGGGTTATGAAGCTACAGACTTCAATTTCTATTAACTTTACGGTCACTGAGTGAATATATTAGTGGCTTCCTAGTTTTGCGTATCTTGTCAGATTTATTCTAGTAGTTATTGAACACCCACTAAAAATAAAACCTGGTACTAGGTATTGAAAGTAATTAAGAAAAGTTTCAACTTTAGGGTAGCCATGGCATTTGTATACCAGACAATTAGGCCTAAGCAAGAAACACAATGCCATTGACAGAGGGTTGGAAAGTGGGGAGGAGGGTCTATCAGTATAGCTGGGTGCACAAAAGGAAGTGATGGCATCTACGCTGGACATCACAAGATGGCAAAAAGGAAAGGAACTCTTAGAAAAGGAACTGCTATTGTGTAAGAAAGAAGATAATACCTTGAAGGCATAAGTGTCAGAAGCCAAAGCCACCAAAAATTACTAAATGCTGGAAGGAATAAAAATAATTTGTTTTTTGCTCTGAAGAGGGAGGATGTGAGAAGGGAGAGTAGGGGTAGGGAAAAGAAAGAGGAGAAAAGAGGAAATGAGAAAGGAAGAGGAAGAGAGAAGGCAGGGGAAAAACTAGGGCTATCAGGAATTGTGGGGAGGTGACTAAAGGACTTTTGAAAAGGGGGAGAGATTTCAAGCAATCTAAAGATATGTGTCTTCTTGATAGAAAGCCAAGTTTCCCGTGAGTCTACATCATGCTTTACAAAAACAAGACAATGAGATGATTCATCATTCATAATGTGAATTTAGCAGATGTCAACTGTAACAACGAGAATATAAGCCTCTAGAAACTTGCAGAAATCTTGGAGCAGGCTTTAGGCAAAGCAGAAATGGGACTTCAAGTCCACCTGACTTAGCTCCCCTGGAGTGAAATACTCCACGTGACGTCTACATTTCACTCACGGCAACAGCAGAGGAAATTGGGGTCCAGTGTGCAAAGGAAGTTGTCCAAGGTCACATAAACGGTAGGTGAAACTTAAACTAGTGTGATTTTGCAAAGTCCTCTTGGAAGGTAATATTCACAGTGGTGAAAAGCATAGATTCTGGAGTCAGACAGTCTAAGTGGCCGACTCTGCCACTTACTAGCCATGTGACCTTGGACTTATTACACAACCTTTCTGTGGTTCAATTTTTCATCTCCAAAATAAAGTACAGTATCACAAATTATTGAGAAATTAAATGAGTCGATAACAGGTTCCCTATCCACAACTCTGAAATCCAAAAAGTTCTGAAAATCAAGTTTACAGCAAATTATTTGGTGGCAAAACTTGACTCTAGGCTGTCATCTTTATTCCACTTGATGAGATATAGAGGTATTAAATGTCTGATTGTAAGTGACAACTCAGACCTTGCAGAGCTATACACTATATAGCATAAGCACTATATTTACTCTCCAAACTCTGAAAAATGCTGATTTCCAAAATACATAGTCCCTCAAGGCCCTCAGATAAAGAATTGTGGACCTGTCCTTAGAATAATATCTGCCATACTTCTAGGGTAAAAGATACATTATGCATTATCAGTAGAGCTGAACCATTCATGTAATGTTACCAGTTCCCTACCTAAGCCCATTTTCTAGAGAGGATGAGTTAAGAGATAGGAGTAGTGGCAAGCTCAACACTGCCAGTCACAGCTCTCTTTCATTACCCAAATAAACATGGTTTTCTGACAGTCTGTTCCAAGCTTCTTAAAATAGCCTCACAGTACTGGGCATCAATACATGTAAATATATGAAAATCAGTCAAGAAGTATCCATTCAGCACCTACTGTAATGTCAGCACTATAAAGATACTATATGGTCCTTGTATGCTTACCATTGAGATGAGGAAAACAAGGATACAGTTAGCAAACAAAATGGTACACAATAATGTGCTAAACTGCAGTGGCATAGCCCAGGTGGTGAGATGAAAAGGGAGGGAATGCTTTACAAAGGAAGGAAGAGTTGTGGGCACTTTATTGCTTGTTATATGATCTTGGGAAACATACTTAGTCTCTCTGAGCCCGTTTCCTCAACTGTAAAACAGGACTGTTGTCAGTTAGCAATATTTTATGTACAGTGCCAGATACATAAGGCCTGAATAAATATATTTTTTCCCTGTCAGTTTATAGGCACTTGGGAGTGAAGATGAATTAACTGTGTCCTGACTAGTGTACAGATTATATAGGCTGAGGAAACTATGGGAAGTTTAGAATGGTGAGACCAAACGGAGTGGCACAGTGGAGGAAAAGGGGAACTTGACAGAGATATTATGGAAAGTCTTGCTTTGATGTACTGAGAAATAGGGAAATGTGAATGATTTTTGACAGAGAATAACATAATAAAAGAGTATTGCTGAAAATTATTTTTTAGAATGTAGAGGATTGGGAGGAAATTGGGAGCCAGCTAAGTGTGTATAATAGCAATCCAACATAGAGCCTAACGCCTTGTTGGTGGAAGTTGGTGAGTGGACATGACATCATTAGACTGGGGAAAACAACAAAACTCTCCTTTTGCAGCATAGTCATTTGCCATCCTAATAAAGTCTTCATTTTATTCCAACTAGAGAGGCAAGTATTAGAACAAATGAATATTCAAAATAATTCTACATCTACTTTTCAAAAAGAGGCTCACATACACGCACAGAATCAGCTCTTTGAGCACAATGACATAATGAAATATAGAACATCTCCTAAACATAGCATCAATTCTTGTGGCAGCCAGAACAACGAGGGCTGGACTGTAGCCTGAGGGCTCAGGTGTCAGAGAAATATACCCTGCTCTCAAGATATCCAAGGTCAAGGTATCTTTCTGTAGCCACTTACATCTTTTCCTTGCCCTGCTCTGGTTATACCCTGGGAGAATTTACAGGCCAAAGAAGTCAGAGTGCATGTCTTGGTTTCAGGGATGCAATGGCTGTCATGTGATGTGGAGATCTACCCTAGCCATTGGACTAACATGAGATGAGTGTTCTTGAGAACATGGCTCCTCAACTGGAAATTGCACAGGCAGAAGGCAGAGATACGTACTACATTTATTTAAGCGAAATGTATTAAAACGCAGTTCTTTGGAAAGTTAGGTGATTTTCCCCGTCTTTACCCTATGGAATACGTTTGGCTTACTATTCACTTCCTCAAGTCTTCTTGAGAATAAAGGACTGCTTGATGCAACTAATACTTACGGTGTTAATATAGTACCTGGTATGTATTGAAAAAATACATACTGACATTGTACCATTTGAGCATTAAATACGTTATTCTATTTGTTCATGCACCGT